CTTGTGTCTGCCGTGAACAGGCCACTTTTCAGCCTCCCTGACATGCACAGACAAGAGGTAGCACTCATGTTGTCCTTCTGTCTGTACTGAGAGATGTTTGGGAGGGAGACTGTCCCTTACTGTTTACAGACTCATGGTTTAATATAGAATTTTCCCTTCATTTGGGATCTGTTAATAGAATGAGGGGACACGTTGTCCTTCCAGATACCACTGTCATGAAATTCAGAAGATCTGTGTAGGAGAGCACTGGGGTTTTGACCCTTCGTCATGGAAACACAAGAGGGCACAAGTAAGCCTGTTTATTCTTTTCTGACTCTCTAACTCCCTGGCAAATTTCTCTTCCCTTTTAAGCCAAAGAAACTTACCTTCAGCAATTTTGGGAACCTGAGAAAGAAAAAGCAGGATGATGTGGAGGAGTACGTGTGTCCTATGGAGCTGGGCCGGGCATCTGGGAGTGGATCAAAGAAGGGCTTTAAGCCAGGCCTGGATATCCGAGTATATGATGATGATGACTTGGACAGGCTGGAGCAGGTAAGCCAGTTCTGACAATTCTGAGTCTTTGAGCTGCCAGGTTTGGTGGGAAAACCTTCCATTTCCCAGGGAAGTCTTCCTTTTGCTTTGGCCCTTGAAGGCCCTGACTTCTTGCTGTCACACAGCATTAGTGACGAAAGGGTCTGCTTCCAAGGAGGTTGGAGCTGTGAGTGCACTTGAGGGCCTGCTCTGGGGTAAATCTGCTCTCCTGACAGGCCATGCTTCTCCCTGGCTCTGAACATCTCAGGTGTAATCAGTAAAATGTGTGCTGCACTTAATTGTCGCTCTGTCACAGCAGGACAAGGGGGAACGGCTTCACACTTCAAATCTGGATCCCAGAAATAACTAATAAGTCTTGATAAGTTGATTTCTTAGCTGTTAGTTGAGCCCTGCTGCAGGCACTACTGACAAACGAATTAATGAGTCAACAAAAAAACGTGTGATTTTTCCCCTTTTCCCTTCTCTGCTTTTTGAATAGAACAGAACAAGCTTCCTTGGAAAAGTAAAAGGAAAAATAAAAAAGAGGACATGAAGAAGGGAACCGACAGAGAGTGGGTTTAGATGTTAGGAGGTTGAGGATATTAGAAAAATGTTCTTCCCTGTGAGGGTGCTGAGGCCCTGGCACAGGTTGCCCAGAGAAGCTGTGGCTGCCCCATCCCTGGAAGTTTCCAAGGCCAAGTTGGACAGAGCTTGGAGCAACCTGGGATAGTGGAAGCTGTCTCTGCCATTGGCAGGGGATTGGACCGAGATGATTTTTAAGGTCTTTTCCAATGCAAAGCATTTTATGATTCCACTCAACGATACAAATAAGTTGTTATTAATTCATTATTCATTCTGGCTTTTATAGATGGAAGATTCAGAAGGGACGGTGAGGCAAATAGGAGCATTTTCTGAAGGCATCAACAACCTGACAGTAAGTGTGTGAATGGGGTCTGAGCAGTAAGGTCTCTGTTCCTGTGGGATGCTGTGAGCCCCTTGGCAGTCTCTGGTGTTAAACAGTGTCAGTGAGGTCCTTTGGGTCTCCTGCAGGGACAGAGGGCACAAGAAAACCAAGTGGTTCAGGAAGGTACCTGCCCATCCTGATGGGGAGGTTTGTGGCTGTGCTGTCTCCCCACACACAGGGAGGGCAGGGACACAGCCCCCATTGCCCATGGTCACTGGGTTTCCAGCTGGGAGTCAGGCTGCATTGTCTGGGTGCAAGCCCCAAGGCAGTGGGGCCAGCAGACAGCAGTGAGCTGGTTTTGCAGCAGAGTGGGTGAAAACCTCCCTCAGCAGAAGAAAGCAGTGGCTGGCAGGCAGTGTTTGCTGCCCAGCACAGGATAGGTGACTGACTCCAGATGTGAGAAACCTTGACTCTTCCCTCCTTTCTTTTCCAGCACATGCTGAAGGAAGATGAAATGTTCAAAGACTTTGCCACTCGCTCTCCTAGCACCAGTATAACAGATGAGGACTCCAACGTGTGACAGTCACCACCAGGCACTGACAAAGGCTCGTTCTCCTGCGTGCAAGGACATCCCTGTTCCATGTGGCAGGCAGCAGATCATGTACTTTACATTGCTCTTGCTTCTGTTTGTTAGAAGTAACACTGAGGGGTGGAGAATTTTAAAGAAAAATTGAGAAAAAACAAGGTGCCTACTTAAGTTGCCGTAAAAACCACCCAGACACTGGTGAATGGTAATGGTTTTAACTCTATTTAATGTACAAATTGGTGATATGTTTCAGAGTGTTGCATTGAAATTGATGTGGTATGCTAGTGCTCCTTTTGCTTATCCCTGGCTTCAGATAATCCTTTATAGTGTTTGAAAAGTACAGAAGGTGTTAGGTGAAAGTGTAGATAGCGTGCATCAGCTCCCTCTGCGCTCCCAGCTGAAAAACAGAACTTACTGCTTTTTTCTAAGTGCTTTTCTTTGGCACGAACACCAGTTCAGCCCTATCCAACGTAGGATTGTAGTCATCCGTGCCCTGTGTAAGCTCCCCGGTAGCTCTTGACTGTTGCTCCTATTTTTATACTGTTTTATATTAAAAAAAAAAAAGAAAAAGAAAAAGAAAAAAGAAGTATATGAAATACATATAAAAGCAAAAATTTAAATTTTGTGAGATAGAGTGATGGAAGGTTGAAGGTGTGTGAGGGAAGGGGGGAGAAGGTTGTAAAAAAATTATGCCAGTTTGCAGACCAGCTGGTTACTGGGAAAGGCAGGCTGACCTTTGGAACTGTTTGCTTTCGTTGCTTTTTACTGAGTGCACAGTTTAATGATCTTCCATTTGAGATAAAACTATTCTAAAGCATGTTTCTTCTAGCAGTGACTCATCCAGAAACTGCACATTTTAAAATGTCTTCTTTTTTGTCCCCAGCAGCAGTAGTTAGTGCATTCAACAAGGTTATTAACACTTCCATGACTTAAAAAAATTTTCTTAAAAGTTGAGAGTACTCCCTGCATATGGAAGGGATATTTCTGTGCTGTGATTAACGTGAAGATAGTGTAGTTGCAAAAAAAAAAAAATTATATAGAGAAATCTATAGGAAATATATTATTTCATATTATTAAGCTTAAGGTGGGACTTTTCCTCCAAAATTCAGTTATCAAATGTGTTGCTCATCATTTTACCTTTTTAAAGCACAGATCCTCTGCTCTTGAGGATCATCAGGTTTTAAAATTCCTAACTAGCCAGTGGGTATTTTTTGTCAGACTTCCAGTATTGCAAAGTGTCCTAGCCAAAAGCAAACAAACAAACAAAAGTAACTTTTTATTCCAGTGGTCATTTGTATGGTGTTGAACGTTGCATGTATTTTAGCACAATAGCATGAAGCTGCTTTGCTGTGTAAAAGGCAAACAAAAGCCCAGCTGGAATAGTTCCTTGCAGTGGTGTTGCTTTGCCAAGCATTTGTCACTCATTTTGTTGCTCTCCTTGCTGGAAGTGAGATCATTCCTGGTGTTGTTCAGGGGATTTGGGGTTTGTGCTGAATTTGGGGGTGTTTCTAAAACACTGTTACAAAAGCTAGGAAAGGAAGTAAGGTTCTTCCCAGGATTTTCAGGGAACTCCCCTCAGATCAGAGGCATATGCCAGCATTGGAATGATGTAAGCTGATAACCTGGACCTTTGAAGGATGTGCAGTGTAGGTGATTGATGTACCAAGATACAAAATTCAGTGTAGGCAGGTTTAGGGTGCAGACGCTTGGGATGTGGATTCAGGCCTCCCTTTCTGTGAATACTCTGCAATATTGTTATTATTTACATGGAAGTTGAACATCAAACCCTGTGGAAACATTGGGAAATGTGGTGCAGGCTTCCAAACAAAAGTGTTCCTCTGGATGGCTCTCGCTAGTCACTGGCTATTGGACAGGACTGGGTATTCACAGGGGAAAAAAGGGAGCTAGTGACACAATAGTGTGTGCTGAAACAACCACACTCTCCAGTTCCTCTGGAGTGTTATCAGTGAGGGCAGTGATTGCTTATTGAAGTGCAGTGTAAGCAGCATTCTGCTCCAAACAACCCTTTCCTGGCAGCCAGGTCATCCCCTTGGAGCTGCCCCTGAGCCCTGCTTCTCTTACAGGGCAGAGATACAAGAGGGGTGATGAAGTCAGGAGGTTTTTTTGTGTGTGTGTGTGTGCACACTGTCGGGGTGTTCAGTGGGTTCCTCTTTGGAGAGGGCAACGTAACTGCTGTGTATCGCCATGTGAAATCCAATAAAGTCTGTGGAAAATGCCAAGTGTTTCTGGAAGCCAGTTCTCTTTTTTGATGTCCTCTTTTTTTGGTTTTGGTTTTTGTTTTTTTTTTTTTTTTTTTTTTTTTTTTCCTTTTACTTTTCCAAGGAAGATTGTTCTGTTCTATTCAAAAAAACAAAGGCGGGAAAAGGGGCAAAATTATACTTTTTTTTTTGTAGACTCATTAATTAATTTGTCAGTAGTGCCTGCAGCAGGGCTCAACTAACAGCTAAGATATCAACTCTGTCAAGACTTTTTTGTTATTTTTGGGATCTAGATTTGACCCATCTTGGGTTGTTTGGTGTGGTGAGAAGTGGCATCTTCATTACTCAGGGTGTGCTCTCCAGAGGGAGCCCTCCCAGGGTGCTCTGTCCCTTCCCGCTGTGAAAGAGCCTCTGGTCCCAAGTGTGAATCTCCCTTCTCTGGGAGATTAAAAGAAAAAGGTGGTTTCATCTCCAGGCAACACCCTATGCTAAAAAAAAATGGTTTCTGTGCAATAGCCCTAGAAAGGAGATCCAAGGAGATAAGATCAGACTGGAATGAGATAACATCAGCCAAAGAAATGGTGCCGGAATCAACAATAAGGAAAACAAGCACAGATGAATTCAGTAAGTGTGAAAGCTACAGGGCCTGTTGGGCTGGTCCCTGCTCAGTCACCTGTGGAGAAACACACCCAGGAGGAACCCGGCTGCCCCGTGGGCACACAGAGCTTGGCTCTGCCATCACCTTCACCAGGAGGGCTGCAGGTATCCTTGTGCAGCTCAATGGGTCTGGCTGAGCCCAGCACCTGCAGAGCCTTTGCTGGAAAATAAAGGTTTGTCCCTGAGGCAATCTGCATGTGGAAACTACCTCCTCCGGCAGAGAAAATGGGCCAGAAGGTCTCCCAGGAGGACAACCAGGAGAACAAGGCTGAAACTTTGGTCATCTGTGAAGTCTTCAGCCAGGGTGTGCTCCATGCGTCTCAAAGGCTGAAGGATTATCTGGGTTTTGTGGATCCTCAAAGCAAATTCCGGCCGGCCACGAACACGCTGAGCGAGATCTTCCTGGTCAACTTTATCGACTTCTGCGTGGGAAAGGGCGTGGAGGAGCGGATTGTGACCAGCAGAATGACCAAGCAGCAGTCCTCGCTGTTCGGCGTGGACTGGATCTGGACCCTGTGTGGGTCTGACAAGCAGATCAAGCTGCAGATGGCCGTGCAGGCTCTGCAGCCGGCCGAGCTCTTCCACGGCGAGGGCCCTGCCGAGGATTGCTGCCGGGAGGCTGCGCTGGCCGACGAGTGCTTCCAGAACATGAGCAGGTTTGAGAAGCTGGCCGAGTTCTGCCGCCTGGTGGGACAGGACTGCCTGGGCTTGTTCGTCATGTTCGGCGTGCCAGGGAAGCCCAAGGACATCCGAGGAGTCCTGCTGGACAGCGTTGCCAAGGAGGAGCAAAAATGCCGCCTGTCGGGCAGGAACGCGCTGCGGCAATTTGTCACCAGCACTGACAGCTCCCTGCCCACAAAAGACATGCTGGAAAATTGCCTGGGCACCAAAAACAGGCTGAAGGACGTGGGCAATGTGTACATAAACTTTGTGTGAGCAGCTGGGCAGGAGCAGTGGCTCCGTGCAGCACCGGGGGCCACGCGGGGCTCAGCTCTGCCCCTCTCTCTCCTCCCCACACTCCATTCCCTCCACATTCCCCTCAACCCATCGTGTTCCCTTAGCTCCTGCAGAAGCCAGGCTGAGTCAGCCTCTCCAGGTTTTAAAACAACGGGACAGACCTGCCAGAGAAATGTGTTTATAGAAGGCACGACGTTTTTCCAGAACATTTTGTTCGCCAGACATTAAGTCTTGGCTGGAGCAGCTGAAAGCTTTGTCAGCCAGAGCTCTGGGGAGGTCCTGGTGGGTTTGACTCAGAGCCTTTGTTTGCAGTGTGGCAGAGTTTTTTTCTGTCCTAGGAGGGTGAGTCTTTAATAATGGAAATGTGCTGGTCAGAAGAGTTGCAATGAGTGTAAAGGACAATACCAGGCCTTAAAATGACTGATTTGAAGAAGTGAGCTGGTTTCAATTAAGGGGAAAAGCCCTTCCCCAGTGCCAGAAATGGGCTCTGAGAGAGACTTTTTAACTACCTGCTCCCTAATTGGTGCCAGGCTCTACAGGGCCTTGGAGCTGTGAATTAAAGGCAGGGCTGGAGCCAACTTCAAAGCTTTTCTCACTGAGTGGCTGTGTCAGGGCAAGGTGTGGCAAAAGCTACAGGTGTTCAAGAACACTTGGGAAAAATCGAGCAGTGGGGACAAAAACCAGGCCTGATGTGGGTTGGACCTTTTCACAGCAACAGAGGCAGCCCCTGACCATTCACACAACAGAGAGCAAATCTGGAGGAGGCAAGATTATGTCACTTGGAATTTCTTTTCAGTAGCTTAGCAGCTGATGGCATTTATGTGCTTGATCTTTTCTATTTCCCTCTGCTTTTTCTGGACTAAGTCAGGCTTTTGGGTTATGCAGCTATAAGTATTTGCTGTACTGTTAACCAGTGAAGGAGGACCTGATCCATATTCCAGCTGGTAAACACACTTTGGTTATAGCTGTTTGAATAGTGTCAGTGTAAAATTCATCTGCCTCTAATTTTTATATAAATTCAGTCATTTAACAATAAAAATAATTTTGAAAACACATTGATCTTTCACTATGTACCATTGTAAGACGGGGGCAGCTGTGAGAGCTGAGAATCAGAGGCTGTTACTTAGCCATTAAAAAAGAGCCTAAAGAGGCTGAGGCATCAGTGCCACGAGTGTTTGCAGCATTCCATGGCAGAGGAAGGAAAAGGGGAACTGAAATAAAAACAAACACAGGGAACTGACAAATGTTTGCTGAGTCACAAACATAACTGGGTTTGGAGGAGGGTGGCCTTTCAGTCCTGAAACAGTTCATTAAGACAGAATAGTTTTAAAAGAGCTGCTGTCACTGTATTCTGTGTGTGTGGCTGGGTTTGGTGGGACAGAAGAGACAGTCCTGGTGTGTTGCAGGGACCCTGCATAGCTGAGGGAGATTGGGGTGTTTTTGATTAAGAAAAATCAACAGTGCAGCAGGATTGACACTGGTTTATAAAAGACCTGCTGAAAGCTTTAATTTTGCATTAAATTGGTATATTATAACTATATTATATATATATAGGTATATATATTGGTATAATATATATATAAATTGGTATATTATAACTTCAACTATCCGGTTCTTTAGAAAATCTGGCACACTTGAAAACTGCTTTTTTTTTTTTTTTTCCTTTGCACGCTTTTTCAATAATAGAAGGGGAAGGGGAAAATCAAAATGTCTTGATTGTATAGAGTTTGAACTGTGAGAGTTACACACTGGGGCAGTTGTTGATTTGATTTGTGCCTCTCAGAGATGTCACACAGCCTTGGTACGTTATTTTGGGAGCTGGGTTCTGTTGCCCAGGCTGCACCACACTCTGGCCCTTTCCCTTGTGAGCTTTACAGGCCCCTGGGCCTTCAGCCATGGTGGGAATGTGGGAATTGGCCAAGGCTCTGGATTCTGGCTAGCAGCAGTGAAAAGTGTGAGCATCTGACTGTGTTCATCCACTCAGCCCAGCTGGAGCCTCAGCTCAGCACAGCCATCCCCAGGCTTCTGTGCCTGCACCTGCTGATGGACCAGGTAAGGTGCAGCCCCCAGCCCATGAAATCCCGGGCAGTTTGTGTAGTAACATGGCACAGCGTTTGTCCTGGTTTCTGAAGAACCTGGAATTCACACCTTTGTCCCTTGGCAGTGTTTTCTGCTCTCATTTCCCTCTGAGCACTCGCTGCTGGGATACCCTGGGACAAGCCCAGTGTATGGGATGGAAACTGCTCCGTGTCTCACCAGGAGGTTCAAAGCCCGTTTGGGTTCCTGGGAGCAGTCAATGAGCTCGGGGTCCTGCTGGGAGGGTCAGCATTCCCTGTGCCAGGAGGGGCAGAGCAGGACACGTGAGAGCATGCTGTATTTATGGATACTTTATTCCCTGTTCAATCCTTTTCTTCCCCTTTGGCTCTCCATAGACCACAGGGGCAGTGAGTGAAAAGCCACATCCATGGACACAAAGGGGACCTTCCATCCAGAGCAGCTCCTGGCCATGGCTGAAAGTTCAGTGAGTGGAAGACAGGAGTAGATGGACTCACAGCTCAGCTGGAAATGTTTTCCACAGGTCCTGGAGGTTGATCAGGCAGGTGCTCCCTTTGGAAAGCTCTGGTGTTGTTCCTCTCCCGTCTCTGCCGCTCTCTCCCCACAGCTCTCGTGTCACTGTCCCTCGGCACGAGGTGATTTCCCTCTCTTGCTGCTGGAAGGGGCTGGGAGCTTCCCAAGCAGCTGGGACAGGACTGGCTGGATCCTGTCAGCTCTTTCTGAAGGGAATTGATCTAATCCTGCTGGCCTCTCCCACAGCAAGGACTGTTCCTGTGTTCCCTGTAGCCAGGGAATATTTGGCAGCCAAGCGAAGGAGAGGAAGGGAAATGATGCTTGCAGCAAGCATAGGTGTGTCTGTGCTGGTTCAGGGTGTCCTTGGAATCATGGAATCCTTCAGGTTGGAGGAGCCCTGTGAGATCTCGGTGCCCAACCGTTCCCCAGTGCTGCAGGGTTTTAGTGGAAAAACTATGAATATACATTTTATTTTGATATCATTCTAAATATGGAAATATATATTCAATGTATACAGGTGTATATATAAAAATATAAAATAGAAATAAAAATAAGTATTAGGAAGAGATAGACTATAAATAACACCATACATCAATCTACATTTTAAATATAAATTTGAATATAAATGCAAAAAATAGAGATAAATTTAAACAGAGTTTAAATAAAGGGCCTTTAAAAAAGAGTTTTACTTGGATAGAGGCAGGGGTTTATTTTAAGCAATATAAAACTTTTAGAAATAAAAATCTAACTATAGAAATATGTAAGCAATGTATAAAAATATAAAATGTAATAAAATAGAACAGGAATAAATGTAAGAAATAATAAAAATACAATTATACATCAATATCCATTACAAATCCGAATGTGAATATAAATATGAAAAATACAAAAATTAAGCCTATTGAAATGCAGTTTAAGAGGAAAGCTTTTTTCTTTCGGTTCCTGTGGGGTCAGAGGCAGGTTTTTGTTCCGTTCTTTCCCGCGCGGATGCTTTGGGGCATTCGCTGCTGACGGCGCAGTGCTGCCGCCTTGTGGACACAGGGCGGTACTGCAGCCCCGCCGCCCGCGGCCGCCCTCTTGGGAATAGCGAGGCGCGGACTCGCTTGACCTTCTCGAGAGAGCGCAAAAAAAAGGACGCGAACATCCAGGAGCCGTGTCTGTCGGCTGCTCTGCTTGACCACCACCCTGACGCCGGCGTGGCCCGGCGGGATTTTCGGCGGCGGTTCCAGTGCCGTGCACACGGGCTGTGCGCTCAGTGGCTCCGCGGGCGGTCGGATTTCGAGCAGGCGCCGACCGGCATCGGCCGATTCGCCTCTTTCTGCCCGGCTCCTGCAGCGGCCGCCATCCTGGGCGCGGCCCCTGCCTCAGCGCCCGTCCCGTCCCCTCCCGTGCTGTCCCACCGCCTCCCTGCCGTACAGCTAGAAATAAACGAAACCAACGTAGAAATATAT